GCAGAGTGTTGGTGACATGGTGAAAGGTGGCATACTATGACAGAGCCACTCTTGAATGCCCTCGGCTCTTCAGAATGGCCCATGCTTTCACAAACGTTTGTAAACCTGACTGCATGACTAGGCGCTTGATTTTTTTATACACACCTGTCAATGGCTCTGAATGAAACACCTGAATTCAATGACTGAGAGGTGTGTCCCCATGCTTTTGTCCATATAGGTTCCTCTGAAAACAAGGAACCTCAATGTTTAGACCTCTCAGGGATGTCAGTGGCTAGATTCTGCTCAAGATTAAAAGTGCCACAAATACAACATCCTGTTTTTCCATTCATGTAATAAGGGAATGCAAATGTACACAATGAGAACTATGACACACCAAACCCTAGCCGTGGAAGCCTGATTCCCAAGGCATAGTAGACCTGCATCCAGTGTGTAAAATTTCTGAGTTGGGATTTGATCTGGGAAACCTGAGGTGGCTCCTGACCCTGGCACTACTTGCTGATCCCCTCTCGTGCTTAAACAGAGGACACTAAGCTTGATTTAGGCAGTGCGGCCAACGTAGTGATTTTTTAGACCCCTTCAACGACTGTTTTTTTCTTTCAAAAAAGTGACTAGCGAAAAATCCAACGACTTTTTGGGCAAACCTTTGCAGACAACAGAAACAGAAAAAAGCAAATGAGAACAGCTTTAATGGGAAATCGGCTGTATTAAAATACAGTAGGCCTATATGTGAGGACAGAGAGCAGGAGAGAAGCAAACAGATGTAACATCTGACATTAGGTAGAATGCAAATACTACACAGTGACGCAACCAATATGCTAATTAGCGCATGGCGTCATCTAGCGATATTTAGCGAGTTTTCAAACAGGCTTTAGTTACTTTCTTTTGAAAGTAGCTGGCAACATTGTATTTAGGCACCGCATTGCTGAGAAGTAGATTTTAGCATATTGTTCCTGGTCCCCTTTAATAAAGTACAGTATAGCACAGATGAATCCTGCAAGAGACAATGAAACGTGCCTTGATGATCGGTATTCAGGCAACTTAAAGAACCTCTTGCAAAAATTCCACTAGATTTTAAGAAGTATTAATATTGTAATGCTGTTTTTAAATGAATGTAAGATATAGGCTACTTTATGACACTGATGACATTTCCGCAAATCAAACAGAAAATAAGTGCATTCAGAAACACACGTAGCTATATAGTCAGATAATTTGTTTGCAAGTTATAAATTTAACTTTTGATATAACTTTTTTTGCTTCGGTGAGTTTTATTTTCTCACAGATTTTTATTTTTGGTTAATGTTAAAAAAGTTTTGCTTGATAATATTGGCACAAATCTGATTCCTTAAAAAAACGAATCTGGTTGACAGCTTTACTCTGCACTGGCCAGTATCAGTCAAGTATGTTTCATAAATTTTTAATTAACCCCAAAAATGGAACTGTGAAGCACCTAGTGGCCTGATCCTGCCCGGAACCCAGTGCTGAGTAATAGTATACTGGTGTGGTGTCCTTGTCGTAGAGGCTGTGGCAGGAGGCTGAAGACCAGAAGCTCAGGCCATTTGTCACTGTTCCACATCTGGCACTGTCAGGCTCTAACTGCTGTGTGTATCTGCCTGGGTAATCTCTGCTGCTCTAGCCAGCCATAAATTAACCCCTGTGTCCTTAGTGGGTGCCTTTCAGTTGGACAGATGCTCCCTGCTCCGTGTCTGTCACTGGCCATCGCCAAGGACAAAAGCCTTTTGTATACCTCAGAGACCCCAATATTACTGGCAAAGAGCGCACGGTCGCATTCACTATCCTCCTTTTTTTTCTTCTTCTTCTTGCTCCATCCTTTAGGAGACACATAGTGCAAAGAGGGGGACGCTGGGAATGTCAGATTTAATGGGGTGAATACTCAACGTCTCGTGAAGGGAAGGGACGAAAAAATGGGAAAAGAACCTGCCACTTAGTGCCCCTGCTCCTGCATCTGCCGGAGGTACCATCCATGAATGCTCCGCAGCATTGTGACATCACCTATTCCTCACCATATACAGCTCTTTGAAAAAACTGGGACCACAGCACAATTTTATGTTTAACTCATTTCTTAATTTATGTGTGTGCATTTGTGAATAATATATATATTTTTCTGCAAACTGCAGCCTGGTTCTTCTCTGTTTCTCATTAATGAAGGGATTCTTCCTTGCATTACAGAACTCCAGTCCTGCTTCTAGGAGCCTGATACGAACTGTCCTAGCAGTGCACCTCACACCTGCAATATTTCCTATAACATCTGTAGAGGTCCAAGCAACTAAAGGAGGCGGGACTAAGACATCCGATTGGTTGGTCCCACCCCCTCTAATTGGTTGGACCCAACTCCTCTCCAATCTGATTGGTTATCTCCCTGAACCAATTATTTTTACACATGCCCTCAGAACATTTTTGTGTAAGTAAAACTCCCATGCGTGAACATTTATACCATTCATGAAAATGAGCAAAATATTATTGTCCGTTAACGGTGTCAGACTTTTGGGTGAAAATATCCTGGTACTTAATGGAACTCATTATGCCATTGATCTTTAACAAGAGCTTGTTAATGGCTTAACAAGAGTGGATCACAAAAGAGCCCCAGACACCCAGTGTATTCTTATTCCCGTGACTCTTGGCAAGGTTCAGCCATTGGGTTCTTCTCTGGAAGGCCTTCTTTCATACAGCCGTTCCAAATAGCTAGTTGACACCGAGTCGGCTGTAAAACAGTCTATAAATTGAATATGTCTGGTATGCTAAAGGTCACCTTAGGCTTTTAAAATATTGCTTATAGCCCTTGTAAAGTGATGTTTATCACCAGCAGCTGATACAAAGTTGTCTGAGTATGAAGCTGTTGGTGGATTTAGCATATGGTTAGGCTCAGTCGCAGGAAAATAACCCATAAAATGCACATTTAAAAGTTTGAAACGACATTATCATTTTAAATACATGTTTAGTGTAAACATCTGGAGTGCTGACTAAACATACCGTAGTACCGTATGTGTCATGAAGTACCAACAATCATGGCTCTGTGTTATGCAGCGTAATCCTATAATATTCACATCATCTGCAATATACACCATAAAATATATGAGGGAGGATACAACGATCAGCCATAATGTCACAACCCCCTGGTAAGGTGTAGGTGCCCCTTCACCAGCAAAACAGCTCTGACCCACTGAGGCATGGAC